ACAGAAACAAAGAACAGAGTACCACATGTTCTCACTCATAAGCGGACCTTGGACAATTATAATACTATCAGAAAGGAATTGGCAGTAGTAGAAAACAGTCCAGGGAGGGGGTGAGATTGGCCGTTGAGGGAAACTGCTAGGGGAGGGAGGGGTATACCTCATCAACAAGGGCACCTGCTGCATAATCAATGTTTGTATACCTAACCCTGAATGGTACCCCACATCTTTATAACAAAAACAAAAACAAAAACAGACCTTTCCAGGGCAGTCCAATCCTTGTAGATTTGCCTTCATTTCGCACTTTTGTGGAACCAAAAGAAAGACCTCTGGTGCTCTGGGAAGATTATCCCTGTGACTTGGCATCATAAGGCAACTGCCTCTCCCTTCTGAAGAACTCACATGTGTCAAGTATAAGTTTTTCAAAGAAATATTTCCTCTTCCTGGCATTTTAAAGATAATTTTTTAAATAATATATGTTTTTTATTTTAAAGTTGTGGGGTACAGTTAAGGGTTAGGTATACAAATATTCATTGTGCGGGTACCCTTGTTGATGAGGTATGCTCTCCCCGTCCCCAGACAGATATTGACAACCATTAATCCCACCGTGCTTCCCCTCCCTGTCCGCCCCATAGTTTCCCACCACTGTCAATCCTTTGCTTATAGTATTATGGTAGTTGTTCAAGGTCCACTTATGAGTGAGAACATGTGATGCTCAGATCTTTGTTTCTGTGAGAGATCATTCAGTATTATAAACTCTAGTTCCATCCAGGTTGCTGCGAAGTTCATGATTTTGTTCTTTTTTATGGCTGCGTAATATTCCATTGTGTATATGTACCACATTTTTAAAATCCAGTCCTTTTTTGATGGACAGCACGGTTGGTTCCATGATCTTGCTATTGTGAACAATGTAAAGATAATTTAATACACAGTAAATTATTACTTATTTTGTGTAGCACAAGCATTAGGAAGGCCACATTTATAGGACACGCACTATGTCCCAAGCATTATCTCAGACCCTGTACATTATTTTCTCCTTTAAACCTCGTCGCATTTTGTAGGTTAGGAAACTGAGCTTCGGCTAAGGTAACCAAGCTAAATCACAGAGCTTGTGTGGTCTCTGGGGCCTTTCTCTTGCCCATACTCCCTGGGCAGCAGCAGAAACTGCGAATGTCACTCTGAGAGTGGGATGGTAACCCTCCATTCTATATCCAGTGAGTCAAAAGCATTGTTAACATTTGTTAGCAGTTTGCTCATGGATGATTTTTAAACTATGCAGCTATTAATTTCCCTGCTGAAGTTTAGAGAGATTAAGTCATTTACCCAAAGTCACACAGCTAGTAGAAGATTAAAGACAAATCTTCCAGGATTTGGAAGATTAAAGTCAATGCTAGCACTTTAAGTATGTGGTTTTGTGACAGTTTAGGGAGAGCAATCTGTACTTTCTGAGACCTTGGAAGAAAAAGTTATTGCAAAATCATAATAATATGTAGTAACTTTGTATAGACATGTCAGAAAGAAGGAATTTTAAAAAAATTATCCCTGTCCCAGGCCTTACTGCCCTAATAAATAACATGATTTTATTTTTCCATCTCCTTCTAATAACTACCTATACTTATACGCATGTTTTATATAATTGCAATTTAGGCAGAAGCATAGTAGTATTTCCTGGCAACGTCATTTACCATCATAACGTTTTTCAATGTTGTTACGGTTTCTTCATAATACTCATTTTATTGATAAACCAGGGTATTCTTAGCCTTTAGTTCATTTCTAAGTTTTGTTCTCTCCTCTCTGCCTCCACTCACCAGCCTCCTTGCCCTGTGATTTTTTTTTTTTTTTTTTTTTGAGTTGGAGTCTCACTCTGTCGCCCAGACTGCAGTGCAGTGGCCACTCCCGGCCACCGCATCCTCGACCTGCTGGGCTCTGGCTGTCCTTTCTCCTCATCCTTCCAAGTAACCGGAATTACAGGCATGCGCTACCATGCCCGG